CTTGGCCCCTACGCAGGGAGGCCACCATGCGCAGGTGGCAGCTTGTTGTGCAAGGGGGCCAAGGGAGACGTGCCTGCTTTGACGGTTGCTCAAAATACGAGGTGGAAAGGAGGCTGTGAGGAAAGGGAAGTGGCCAGATGCACGGCTCGGCTCGCATGCGGCATGCACGGGCCCACAGAGGAAATGAAGCGAGTAAGCGGCAGCGAGTTTCATGCAGCAAGGAGCAAGCGTGGGGCGGGAGGGGAATCTGTTACCAGAGACCTGGGGTGCTCTTGACCACGCTTCTCACGGGAGGGGCCTCTATAAGTAGCTGCCATTTAAAATAACGGAGGACAGAGCTGAACACACATCTTCCTGTGGGCAGGGGAGGGAGGCGGTGGTTAAGCTGACAGGCACTGTAGAGACTTCCCTTTTGCAGCGTCCTTACCCCAGGCTCATGAAAGCACTTGGGGCAAGGGGAAGTAGAGGCCTCCCTTTTTCTATTAGAGGAAGAAACAGAAGCAGAAAGGACTTGATCGGGGACTTGAGGGTGGGCAAATAGCAGAGCCAGGGCCAGGACAAAGGTTTCAGGATTCTCAAGCGAGAGCCCGACCTTCCTGACCTTGTGCCTCCAAATAGACTGAACTGATGAAGCAACCTCAGTCCAGAAACCAGCTGGAGAAGTGGGAAGGGGCCCAGTGGCTCGAAATAGCAAGAACATGAGTGCACGGGACTGCCGAAAAAGAAATCTATTACTTGGTACATTTACTTACGCTACTTGGTAAATGCATCCTCGGCCCAGCCTTGATATGCTAATGAAATAACCGGGGCCCAGTAGCACAGACTGAACAAATGAGCTGGGCAGGGATAAGGGAGGGAGGGAGGGAGGGAGGGATGATAGCCTTGTGCTCTTTATTACATCAGACAGAACTGGAAATGCTATGGGAACAGGAAGGGAAGTCATATCTCACTTTTTTGCAGGAAGATTTATTAGGTTATTGTGGTATGGAGTTGGTTCTGGGAGCATAGAGAGATTGAAGCAACAGCAGGGAGGAGCTGTTTGAGCAAAACAGGATCACCATAGAGCAGTGGTGCCCAACCTTTTCAACATGTGGGTCAGGTGAGCAGTGCCAAGTCTGTCTGCCAGCTAGATCTAATCAATCCTCCCATAGGGGACTTAAAATTTGTGGGCATGTTAACTGCCCATGCTCCCCACCACCAGATTTTTGGCCCCATGGAGAGACCCGCACTTGGGGTTGAGCATCCCTGCTGTAAAGCAAAGAACACCCTGAATCAAAACCAGAGTCCACATTGCACAGCCCTGCAGGGACTACTACTTCCTGAGTCAGTCTCTCTGGCCCAGTAAGGGCTTTATCTTTGACATTTCTCTTGTACCCCACCTCCCCTCAAGTCCATGGTTCCCCCATTTTACATCAGTAGCAGCTGCAGAAACTGCTGCACAAGCCCCCAAACAGGCCACTATAACTATCGAGGCCATCAGAGCTCCATAGGGGAAGTTTTGTTGCCACAGGTTAGACCACATTTAATCCATAGGCTGGATCAGTAAGGACCTGCCCTTTTATTTAAAAAGCTCTCCAGTGACTGGATCAGTAAGGACCTGCCCTTTTATTTAAGGAGCTCTCCAGTGCCCCTGCCGATTCTCCAGTCCTCTTAGAGACCTCCAAAGAAAGGAGGGATAAAAAAAAAGTTGCTGTGCCGACTCAATGTGCATCCATCCCCGGTACTTCTAAAAGCTAGGATACAAATAGAAATAACACTTACAGGCACTTTATAGAAGGCAATTCCTCTGCCTTAAGGTTAAGGGAAGGAAATAAGCAGAGAGTTATAGGCACTACCTGAAGGCAAAGGAGTAAGTTCACAGCCTGTCTAGGAATCAGAGATGCAATGAATTCGAGTTAGTATGACTGGGGGATTGACAGCATTTATAGTCCAGCAAGTAGGGCTCAGGAGACCTGGGAATGACTTGACTCCATAGTCTGGACCAAAAGTGGCCAACCAGCAACCTGTGCGCCACAAGCAGAAGGGCAGCCTATGAGGCACATGGCACATGAGGGAGGAGACAGGGAACACAGTGGTAAACAGGGCAGGAAGCACAAAGCAAAGCAGCAGATCAAACAGGGAAAGGGGAACAGAGTGGCACTGAGGGAGGGTGTGGAGCTAATTTGTGGTATGGCTGCTGCCAAAAAGGTCTGGGTCACAAGAAGCATTTCCAGAAGCGCTCCAGCGACTCTGAACCTCAGTCCTATTTTCAAAGATAAAAAGTTGATGGGATTTACAAAAATGGGACTATCGTTCCCCACTCTTTGCTGGTTGATGCCATTGTAGTACAAGCAGCCATCACTCACCTTCTTCCAGGGGTGTTCAAGCAATGGAACTAGGTCAGGGGCTACCCCAGTCAGTAGCTACCTGAGCCAGTGGCCACATTCACAACACTGTGGACTACTTACTAGGTACGTAGGTTTCCAGAACAGATTTTTTTCTAAAGGCAAAGCCAAGCCAGAAGTGTCCTATGCACATCAGATTGGGAATGATTGAAATGAGTGGTTCTCAACCTCATTAGACTTAAGGTACCTCTTGGAAGAGGCTTGATCAGCTTTTGCTTATTCCTTAACTATGGAAAAATACAGCAATTGCACTGCAAAGAACTCAGTCGACAAAAGGGCAGAATGTTTTTTGACACTATAGATTTCTGCTTGAAATCTCTGGGTTGATCTGGTAGGGACATTTGGACTCCTAATAGTACTAATATTGCACATCACCCTTAAGAGGATCTTACAGCACCCCTGGGTGCAACAGGATCCTGGTTGAGAATCACTGATTTAGACAGTAAACACAGATCATCTTTTTGCTTAACACAGTAGGTTCCTGGGCCATGACAAGACTCCAAACTACTGTGAAGTGGGTGGCTTGGCAACTTCAGTTTTCTACTAGTCCTCTCCCTAGGCCTGTAGCCAATTTAGACAATGTTGAACAAAGCACCCTAGACATTTTAGGTTAAAGAAATTTGATTGCAAATGCCTTCTCTGTTCTAAATCTGGCATAGGCTGGCAGGGGATATCTTCCTCAAGGATTGTTATTCCTTGTTAAGGACAAAGAGAAAAAAATAAAAAACTTTCATACATTACATGTAGGAAAGGCAGCTTATTTTCAGGAAGGGCACGTTCTGATGACATCTGCCAAAAACTGGAAGGAGAAAGCGAAGGAAAAATTCTTAAAGGTCTACTGCAGGATGGAGCCAAAAGGTAGCATGAGATGGGATCAAGTCAATCACCCAATTACTTACTGTGTAAGAGGCCAAAGTGATTGTGTGAGGAGCAGATAGGAGGAAACAATAGCACCTCATACTTGCCTATTTGGGAAAGGAATGGGAAGAAGAGTGTTTTTTTTAAACTCTTGGAGCTTAGTGTGATCATGTAGACTTGTGGAGCCTGTTTAGTTTGAAACGGAGGCAGCAAGATAAAAAGGCCTCTCCATTCAATAGATGCTAAGCTGTTGTAAATACCAGCTTGGAAAGGGAAAAAATGTGACTCGGGATGTCAGCTGATAGCCCTGAGGAAAAGCAAGTGGATCTGCCTTCCAATGTCAGTTCAATGAGATGGAGAAACCACAGTGCTGCAGAACGCTTACGGGTGTGAACAGACAGCAAGTGTGATAGTGCTTGCTGTGCAGCTGAGATCAGGGCCATCCGTGCCGAGGAAGCATCACAGAGCTGAAATTTCTGTGCAGCTTGTGTTATTGGGAGTAGAAAAAACTGGGTCCGATTCTTCTTACCTGAAAGACTATAGCATTGGAGGGCATCAAGAGAACAATCAAAATAGGGATGCAGTGTGAGTGGGAGGCTGGGAAGAGACCGGAGTTGCAATTTCCACTGGCCAGAACAGCAGGTATAAGCAAGGGAATGATGAGAGGCGGAGAAGCATTCTGTTGCAAGGAGCCCACGGAGCTGATTCATGGGGCAGCATGTGCCAGCAGGGCATGTCTACATTGTCTTCCTGAGCATACAAAGCCCTCTACAAATAAGCAGTTGGAAGCTGGGCATAACAACCATAAGCTGATCTGAAAAGCCTTTTCTCCTTTAAGTCTCCTATCCAGACAGGTCCAAAAGGGGTATTTTTCAAGTTAAACCCAAAGGGAGGCAGAGGCAGGGACCAGTGGGGAGGAACAGAGCCTTCCCAGCTCTGGACTGAAACGCACCTGAGTCGAGGGTGCCCAGAACAGGGTGGTGGTGGTGGTGGCGCACCTTTTGTGTCTTTAGAGACGAAGCCTCAGGAGTTGTATGGTTTTGAAACACGATGGTTTTCCAGGAGACCAGAAAGACCAGATGTGACTGAAGAAGTGGCAGGGCTCTGACACCTCTGCAATGACCTCTTTACTTCTCCCCTGCTTGGAACCAGAGACTGTTTAAGGCTCAGATGGTTTATGTGGAGGGGAAAAGTTGTAGTGAATCCAGAAAGCTCTCTGGTTTTGACCTTCCACCACTACAGGAATTTATAGTTCCAAGGGAGGAGGCAGATGGCAAGAGGGAAGGCCTCTTTCAGAAGCTGCAGCTGCATAAAGCAATGATCATATTATTGAAAACATAATGCTTCCTCTATGCAACCAATTAGACTGCCTTTTAGGGGAAGCTGCAAGTGTCATAATTTGCCACTAGACAGGTAATCAGAGGCACGCGCACAATAATAACCCTGCAGAACTGCATTACTTTTTGATTTCAGGATGGGAGGATAACAGTAGTAAAATAAGGACCCCGACAGTGGTACCGTCTACCAGACATCCAACTCGTAGAGAAACAATGGGCACACCCAAAACATTTTTCTTTAAACTTTTATTCCAAAAATCCACCCCCAAGAAACAAAATATTTCCCTTCAGAGGCTGGTATCTTCCCTCCCCTCCCCCACAAGTGTCTCTCCCATCCATGTGGTAATTTTATGAGCAAAGATTCTCTCTAAAACCAGTATTGGAGAATGCTTAGAAAAAAGAAAAAACAACAAAAAAGAAAAAAAGAAAAAAAAAAGAATTCCAACTAGCTCCCCCTCCCTTTGCCCCAAATAATAAGCCCCCCCAACCCAAAACATATCAACTGAGAGAGCGCATAAGACTTGGTTTCTTTTACCCTTAATGCTTACAATTAATTTTAAAGCACAAACATTGGAGATGGACTCTAAATTGCCAACAAAAAATATATATATTTACAATATTTCTGTGTGTGTGTGTGTGGGGGGGGGGGGTAAAAGAAGAAAAAAAAAACAACACAAAAAACACAACCAAACCCTTTAAACAATAATGACTTTCTTTAGGGAGTTTTATTTAGGGAGCAGTTTTTTAAATCACTAAGTGATTTCATATATATAATTATTTTTTTTCTTCTTTCCTTTGTGGATTTTCACCCCTTGCCCTCCAAGGTGGTGGCCAGTTATGGTAACGAGTTATCGCACCTTCATTTTAAGTTTTTAAGTCTCTGGAGCCACAGACTTGGTGGAGGGCCAATGTCTGAGAAGGCCATGGGGCAACGAACTGAAACACTAGCCGGCCCCTTCACCCATCAGCTTGGTCACCCCCACTGCCTAGCATTGACACCCCCCTGTAGCGACGATCTGCTGTAGCTCAGTACTGACTGCATGTTGTTTTAGGTACAGAGATACTTTTGCTTTCCAGACTGGGAAAAAAGAAAAGAAAAGAAAAAAAAGAAAAGAAAAGAAAGCTAGCCCAGCCACGCTCAGGGCTGGTGCGTCCCCCAGGTCGGATGTCCTTGATCTCCTGCTTGTGGCTGCCCTGTGTTCCTTTAGAAAGGAAACAAAAAAACCCCAACAAAAATAGTTTGATTCTTCTCAAAAGTTTACCACAGGAGCAACCAAAGAACATAAAAAGGAAGAAAGCTTCCACTCCCAGGTCAGCGACAAGAATAAGTGGGTAATTTTTGCTCAAAACTCTCAGAATTCATTGCAGCAAAACTCCCATGTACCGAGGCACTGCGGAATTCATCACACTTGCATTTTCCCCCCTCTCAGAACAGAACCTGGCTCATAACATGGAGGTCTGGGGGAAGGAAGTGCAGGGCCTGACCCCCTGGGGGTTCAGCTGATTTGAACAAAGGCCTCATCCCGCCCCCAGCCAACACCACAGCAGAGGTCACTGGTGCCAGAGCGGTTGGAACCAGCAGGCCGCAAGGAGAGCTGAAGGGGTGACAGCTGCTTCCTCCTCTCCCTTATTGCTTTGGAAGCAGCGAGGGTACATCTGTGCTAGCCTCCTTTCAGGTTCTGCCACTGCCCTTGGCCTGCCTCCTTCTTCCCCTGCTGCTTCGAGTTGCTTTCTCCTGTGCAAGCCTTGTGAGCGGACTAGGGGAGCGCACGGGCAGTCTGGTTTTGTGCTATCAGTATGCTCAGAGATAAGTGGGGTTGGGGTGTGGAGGCAGGAGGTGGTGGAAGAAGAGAGCACAGTGCAAAATGTGCATTACATTGACAAGCTCTCAGCTGGGGGAGTGTCCAGTCACTCTGGGGGCTGGTGGGGGGAGAAGGGGAGGGCAGGGGGGGAAAATAAAACAGTGACCCAAAATAAGATTCCAACCTTTTTTTTTTTTTTAAAGTGCAAAAAGCTCTCTGCTGCCCAAGAGAGAGGTTCTTTGGACCGACCATTCATTGCAAAGGAAAAAGTGGCAGCTAAAGGGGGTGGGGGGGGGGGGGGCGCGTCCCCCCCCCCATCCTCATCTCCCCATTCAAGAGCCAATAGCTACGCCCTGGGTGGCAAGACAGAGAAGGGTTTTCTCCTCTGGCTGCAGTGTCCCAAGAGTGCTTAATGATACTAGGCTGCATACAGGAGGCTGGGGAGAAGGTGCAACCCACCCCATGCAGGATCTGGAAACCCTGTCTGATGCCTTCTGAGTCCTCCCTGAGCTCTGATGTACCTGTGCCCCCTGAAGACATCCTTCCCTGTTCCCTTCTAAGAAGGGAGAGGAGAACCTGGACTCTCCATCCCCTGGCCAGTGTGTGGGTACACACTGCTCTGAGCAAGCCATTGCCACCCCAGAGCGGAAGCTCAACATGTCCAACCTTGCCTCCTAAAGTGGGACAGGGGCTGTAACCCACCCTTCCCCAGCTAGCCATGAAAGAGGCATCCACCTGCAAGAACCCACTGTCCAACCTCCTCCAGCCACTCCAGGGCTCATCCTCTCTGCAAGAAGAACCACTGAACACAGCAGTGGGGGAACCTCAGTCACTTTTGCTAGTCAAGGCCAAGAAGAGGGAAAGCTTAAAGGAAGGGTGCAGACATGGCAGGACAAACTAGGTTACCAAAAAACCATGGGATCCCAAGAGATGTACATGATGGGGGTGGCACTGGGGAGGAGATGGGGCGCAAGCTTGTTCCAGACTGTCCAGCTGCAATCCCTCTTCCATGGGGAGGGTATTGCTCCCCTCACCCATACTAACTAGGAAGCAAAAATCTGTTCCGGGGTGCTGAGGTGAGGAGAAAAGGGGGCATGTTCCTCCATGCAGAGACCTTGACACAACTTCAACTTCAGACTAAGAGCGGGCAGCCTCTGAGTGAGCTCCCCCTGTGTTTGCCCATTCCTCCTCAGCTACTGGCCAGCCTGACAGGACATCTTCATCAGCAAAGTCCCAGGAGGAGGACAACTGTGGAGTCAGGCTGGCCTCTGACCTGCCTGTGGATTTGGGCAGGGGAGATGGGCACAATGCTGGCCTCAAAGCAGGACAGAGCGGGGGGGGGGGGGGGGGGGGGGAGGAGGAGCGGCTCTCTGAGAGGGGTGGGATGGGATCTTTCCTTCTCCTCAGTCTGCCTGGGCTTGGTCTCTAGCTGATCTTCTGGATCAGCTTCTCATCAGACAGGCAGTAAAGGCTGTTGATGGACAGGTCCGAGATGAAGTGCTCGCAGGCCTTCCGGGTGATCTGCTTGCAGCCTCGCAGGTCAATCAGGGTGACGTTGGAGATGCGCCGCAGGTAGAGCAGGGCCTGGTCTGTCAGCTTATTGCAACCTGAGGAGAGAGCGGAGGTGTTCTTGTACAGCACGGCGACAGGAATTCTAGGACCCAACTTGCCCAACGGTTTCCCGAAGTCTTGCGAACTGCAGCCTGTGTTTCACACACTTCACGTGAGCCAATAACCCCCACTTGGCCTTAATAGCAGATTGCTAGCTGCAGGTGTTTCCCAGCCGAGTCCCATGCTCCATCCCCAAGAGTCAGAGGTCACTCAGCTTTCTTGGCCAGGACAGAAAGCAGGCCAGGCCTGACCCATAAGCTAGGCTAGTGTACACCGCAGCAAGCTACATTTGGGTTACACTCAGACAAAGACAGGCTCTTAACCTGGAGATCACCAGAGGATGTGCCCAGCATGCTAGAGACCGTGGTCTTAAAAGCAGCCACAGAGGGCCTCACTGGCATATTTTCAGGTTTGGAGCGTGCCTGCAGGTTGTCAGGATGTGCTCAGGGCAAAAACAGCCGCAGCCTGCTCTCACGGTGGTATAGACAAGGACTCAACACTCCCCCAGGTCCCAGCAGTAGGAACCCCTGTTAAGCAAGGATGCACAGAAACTGAACACCAGCCTAGCTGGGTGCTAGACCTGTACCTGCCATGTTGAGCTCTGTGAGCGAGTTGCGTGTGGAAGACCCCACAGCCGTTAGGAGGTTGGCCGACTGGTCCGTGAGGTGGTTGCAGTGACTAAGGTCGAGACGTGAGAGCAGGGGCATGTGGCGGATGATGAGCCGCAGCGTGGCGTCGGTGATGTCCAGGCCAGCTAGCCGGAAGTCTATCATGTTGCGGAGTTTGCTGCGATTGTCCTGACCTTTAGAGGCAGGTAAGGAAGTCAAGTCAATTTGTGGTCTCGTGCTGCCTTTGAGTGCTTCTAAGGCTGGGTCCCCTCAAAACCTCTTCTAGAGCAGTGGTTCTCAACCTTTTTTGTATCAGGACCTATTTGTAAACATCAATGGCCAGGCCCAAAACAGTGCCCCTTCACTCCCAACCTGCTGTCCCCAGGCCCCAGCCCCACGTGTGGGGTGGGTGCATAGAAGGCATGAGGGGCCTCCCAAGCAGCCCCTCGCAGGCTGGAACTCTGTCAGCCTGCAAGGGAAAAGCCAGTTTCCCTTGTTTTTTTTTCCCTTTAAAGGAGAATCCATTTTTTAAGTTTGTTCATGACCCTTTCAAATATTCTTGTGACCCACTTTTGGGTCATGACCCATGAGTTGAGAAATGCTGTTCTAGAGGACATAGCTGTCCATCCCTGACCACCAGCCCATTCAGTCCCAGAATATCAGTCTGTGAAGCAGCACAGCAAGCTCACAGCACTGGCAGCTTTCCCACCCTCCTTGGTAACTGTCCTGCATAGCCATGGTGCCCATGTCTCAGCTGGTACATGTGACCTGGGAACCAACATACTTGGTTTGTCTGTCGGAGGTGTGAGCAAGTCCCGGATCTGTGGGTCCTTGATTCCTACTGCCCACCGAAGATCGAGGGTCCTGAGAAGGGGGCAGCTGGAGGTACTGAGAGCACAGACTGCAGACCAGGAGCAGCCTGCAAGGATGAGGTCTTTCAGGCCTGCCGAAGGAACGAGAGACAGAATGCATCGAGTCAGATTGATCAAGCTGTAGGATGTCTGCTTTGGCTGCTAAGCTCCTTCTCTTGCCACCACCTTGCATATTTGGAGAATTTGCCTCCAGCTTCTGCTCTGGGAAAGGCCAAGCCTTGATGAACAGAGACCCTGGATACTGCCTCGCCTTTGCATGGCTGGAGTAGAGCCATCTCCTCAGCATTGGGGAGGTTTTGGGATACTGGATTCATTTTACAGAAAAGGGCATCTCATTACTAGGGCCAGCTTCTCAAGCACCCGAACTTTCTGGGAGCTCTTGCCATAAGCTGCCCTGGGGATAGAGTGAAAGCACTAAATTGAATCACAACTGCAAGGGGTGCTGGGATTAGTCAGTGCCTCAAGATAGTACCTGTGGACTAGCTGACTACTCATGACTACTCAGAATGGTGGCAGTGCACCTGGCCCAAGGGCTGATGGCCCAGGGCAGCTTTACTTTATCCCCAGCATGATGTGTTGCAGAGGCAAAGCACCATCTCCTCCCTGGTCCACCACAGACCCCGCTCACCTGGCAACCTGTTGACAAGCCAGGTGAGTTGTTTTTTGGAGATATTGGTCCAGCTGAGGTCGAGGCTGACTGGCTGCCTTTTGATGATGCCACTCAGAGCCTGGGGGGTGATGGACTTGCACCTGCTCAAGTCAATCTTTGTCCACAACCTCTTGTCACAGCACCTGAGGCAGAGACAGACAAAAAGACCCAAGTTAGACAGGAGAAGCCTGCCAGATAACAAAGGAGAGGCTCCTGGGTAACATGAACATGTGCATGGTGCCTGGTGTGACAGTCAAGCTCCAGCAGGCTTTCCCAGGAGTTGTTCCCACCTCTACCCCCCTCCTGCTGTGTACAGGAGGATTTATTTCTAGAATCTGTCCCCCAGACCACAGGTCATTTTGCTGCCCTGAATCAGCTGTGCTGCAGTTGGGTTTTGCTGTACTACAACAGGGAGAGCAAAGGCACACCAGGGGCAACAGAGGCCTTTCCCTGTTTATCTGTTAGCTGTGGGTTGCAGTGCACTTACCAGGCTAATCCCCTCCCACAGGGCAGACACTCAGCCTGGAGGGTTCATTCTCAATATTCCCCACTCAGCCCAGAGGACACTCAAAGCTGATGGAGTTATTAGCATGCTGAGTTGGAGAGTAAGTCCTATGGCTGGAACAGACAAATCCCACATCCCTCTTGGGATGCTGGCAACCCAGGAGGGTCCAGGGAAGAGGGCGGGAGATAACCAGAACTTATGGGATGCATCAGGGTTTCTGCATCAGTCCTGCAGCAAAAGGTTCTGCCATCTGCCAACTGCCCTTGCTTGCACTGTTGCCCTTTATAGGCAACAGATTTACTATTCTCTCATCAGCTAGTTTGTAGAGCCTAAAAACAAGAGACTGGAGGGAACCTGCTGGGCCAAGTCCAGTGCCCCACTACAGCAGGCACTGCCTTATATAATCCCCGTCATAAGGCAAACAAGCTCCATCTTGAAGCTCAGGCTCTTCACTCCCTGTATTTCTGCTGCAGGGCTGTTCCAGAGACTCTCTGCTCTGACAGTTACAAGCCTTCTAATTTCTCTGCCTAAGGCTTTTCATAGCCAGTTTATGCCCACATGTCCTTGTACCAATGCTGCCCTTTAGCTTAGATTGTTCTTCTCCATCCCTGGTGTGTATGGTTTATAGACAGAAATCACACCCCTGCTCAGCCTTTGCTTTACTGGGCTAAACAAGCCAAACTGCAAGGCCAAGGGAAGGGGGGAGATGGGAGAAGGACACACAGCAGCTGCCACATGAAAGAAGAAGAGAGCCCAGGACTGGGCATAGCGGGCACTTGTAACAGGGAAAGGATGGAACTGGTTAGGACCGAAGATGCCCTTAAACTGCAGCCTGGGAAGCGCTTTTCAATGGAGAAGAAAACTGAAAGGTTGTGGTCCAAAGGGTCATGCCAGAAAAGTAGGGGCTTACTCCTTGATGCTGGCAAAGGGGTATGGCACAGGTTGCATCCTGACAGTCTTCCTGCATCATATATGCCTCTTCCCACAGGGAAAAGGGACACAACCAGAGAGCAAGGGGCCTGATACCTGCCAGCTCCAAGGGATTTCATCATAACTGGAGCGAGACCCCCTGGCTCTTCCCTATTCATCACCCTATTGGTACAGAGGAGCAATTAGATGGCATTGACCACTGCCTTTGACTGGGCAGAGATGACACTGGACAGCTCCTTGGGAGGCCAGAGAAGGGTGGGCAAGGGTGGCAGCTGCCATGCACTTACCATTTGTACCAAGTCTTGCACACCCGCATACATTCACAGAGCTCTCTGCGAGTGAGGTAGCGGAACACTGACATCCACACCTCACGCTGCATCCAGCTTTCCTCTCCATCCTGCAGCCGACCTTTGCCATTGAGGCGGGCTGCCCCACCCTCCTCTGCACTTTCATCTTCCTCTTCTTCTTCTTCCTCCTCCTCCTCTGCCTCCTCATCCCCGCCCCGCTGGGGCGTCCTTGCTGGGCTATGGCGCATGACCACGCGGGGAGAGTGCCGTAGGTTGGTGGAGGAGGCGGTGATGGCTTGCAGTTTGGGCACAATGGAGGTGCCATGCATGTCTTTGGTGGGCCTCTGCAGCGTGACCGTGAGATAGGAGCCGTGGAGTTTGGCTTTCTCCACCTCCGACAGCTCCTTCTTGCCACTGGGGTTGTTCTCCTTCTCCCGCACCATTGTGCGTTCTGTGGCTTGGAGTCGCAGCAACTGCCGCCGCTTGAAGCGCTCATCCCGGCTGGCACTGTGATGGTCACTGGGGCCAGCCCCTGGGGATGACCGTGTCACCATGCCCCGCGGTGATGCTGGGTCATGAATCAACTGCAGCATGGGGGTGGGTGAGTTCGGTGGGGGAGTCAGGGGCTCTTCACAGCTCCGCAAGGGCCGCAAGACTTTGGCCTGAACCGTGCCCTCATCGCTGTCCTCCATCTTCCGCTTCTGTAAGGTAGGCAGAGAGGGGCATCAACACCTTAGATCAACAGCACGAGGCCTGGGTAGCCCCCGTGCCCCATACCATCTGGTAGGCAACATGCCAACAGGAGAAACACCAGGAGTGCACTGAGGTAGCGTCACACTTACATGGACAAGTGTTTTGCTGAAACATTGTACAAGGGGACCCCACCCACTGTTCAGTATGTCAGAGCAGGAAACTGAAAACTCACCCCACTCCACCCGTCCCTCTGGGCTCAGCACCATCAGTAAGGGAAAGCCAGCAGGCTATCTGCTCTCCCAACACTGACTGATAAAAGGGCGAGGGTGTGAAGAGCATTACAACCTCATGAGTCTCAAATGAACTTATCCCAGGGCTGTGGGATTCTTTATGGCAACCTTCCTTCCAATCCATGGCAAGACTATGAGGTCCCCAGATCACCACTGGTCTCCTGAGAGGGGCAAATCTGTCTGCAGTTTCTAGCACATGATCAGCAACTCTTCCTTTACGCACAAGCCCAATTACACCAGGAATTGCTAGTGTTACATTGCCCCAGAGGGACTAAACTGGGGGGTAGAAGGGGGTGAGGGTGCTGGCTGTAAATGGTGAGATGCCTTGGTATGGATGTAGGAGACATTCCAAGTGGCCTGACTGAACACACAGCACCCTGCAGCTCTTGCTGAACTTAGTGGTGGCAGCAGCGCATGTGGGAGAGGTTTAAGCCATAAGGAGGAAGGAGGTTTAAGTCATAAGGGAAGGAGGAACCCCCAGCAAACCTATAGGTTGGGGAGTGTCCTTCTCAGCAGCTCGGAGGCAGAGAGGGATCTTGGAGTCATAACTGACTCCAAGATGAACATGAGCCGGCAGTGTAACGAGGCCATTAACAAGGCCAATTGCACCTTGTCGTGCATTAGCAGGTGCATGACTAATAGAACAAAGGAGGTGATGCTCCCCCTCTATGCGGCACTGGTCAGGCTGCAGCTGGAGTACTGTGTCCAGTTTTGGGCGCCACACTTCAAGAGGGATGCGGGAATCTCGAGAGGGTCCAGAGGAGGGCTACTCACATGATTAGTGGCCTTCGTGATAGACCCTACGGGGTGAGGTTGAGAGAGCTGAATCTCTTCAGCCTTCACAAGAGACGGCTGAGGGGAGATCTTGTGGCTGCCTATAAATTTATTAGGGGAGGTCAATGGGGAATAGGGGAAGCGCTGTTTACTAGGGCGCCCCAGGGAGAGACTAGGAATAACGGGTGTAAACTAGTTGAGAGTGGATTTAGGTTAGATATTAGGATGAAATTTTTCACAGTAAGGGTGGCCAGGATCTGGAATGGGCTTCCAAGAGAGGTGGTGCTATCACCTAGCTTGGAGGTCTTCAAGAGGAGGCTAGTCACCTGGCTGGGGTCATCTGACCTCGGTCCTCCTTCCTGCCAGGGGCAGGGGGTTGGACACGATGATCCATTGTGGTCCCTTCCAACTCTACAATCTATGAATAAGACTGCTATCTCCTGGGACCAATGAGGCACCCACACCCTCCTCCCCAACCCACAGTACTCAGGAGGGAAGCATGCAAAGTTCTCACCAGTAGTGTCAGGATTGACAGGTTCCCCACCCAAAGTCAAGTGTTCAGGCAATTAAAATGAAAGGAGGTGCCAAAAGGGTGCACATTACCCACAAGGAAGGGACTTGAGCCTCAACTGGAGTGAAGGAAACAGAATGCTGCAGCCCCCTCCCCCCGACCTTGCTTGCTTTCGCTGGCAGAGTCTTGTCTGGGACGGCAGGGAGCGTCCTACGTATGATCTGGTAGCCATGGGTCCGCCGCCTAGGCAGTGCTGCCAGCCTCCACTTGGCTAGCTTGCGGCGCACATAGTTCACTTGCTGCTTAGCAACAGGGTCTGGGTGCGACTGCCGTTGGAACAGCCGTTTCTTCTGGGGGGTAGTGAGCTTTGCTGGTAGCTGGGCCTTCTGCAAAGGCCAGGAGGGCAAGGATGACAGAGCTATGAACCTGCTCCACTGGAAGTTAATAGCACCAAGCTCCAACAGTGCTTGCCAGCCACATGACCCCCACTGTTGTGCTACATCTCCACCAGTGCCTGCCTGCCAACACCTGGCCCCACAGAGATGCCGTTGTCTGCTGTCCACATGCAACAACATCCAAACCCACTCTCCATACTGCCATAGACACCATCAATGCCCACCTGCTCAGCATTCAGGACTATCATACCACACACAGCTGGGCTTCCTCTCCCTTCATCCCCCGTACAATGGGCCCAAACTCTTCACACCTCCACAGCAGTGAGGGATGTGCATTTGCAAAGCAACGCACACATGCCCATTCTCCTCCTGTTCCTGTGGCTTCTCTTGGCACAGCTCACAGCGAAGTTCTTCTCTTACCTGGCCTTTCTCAGAGTCATCACCCTGGTAGCACTTTGGACATTCCCAGCAGTTGGGCAATTCATCATTGAGCAGCCCTTCCCCATCCATCTGCAGATGGAAGATACCAAATGGTTAGTCTCTGCCCAATGGCCCTTTGCCTCTCCCTGCCCATGGCAATGGGTATGGATGGCTGTGGGGTGGGGGGTGGACTGGACCCAGCCTGAGCCCTATCCCACCTGCAGGCAGCCAGGATGAACTATCTCATTGCAGATGCAGCACTCCATGAGCTTCTTCTCGAAGTCCTGCGAGTCTTCATTCTGATCCACCTCCCCACAAAGTGCACACGTAACAGAGTGAGGCAGCCTGGGCTACAAAGGAAACCAAGAGTGAAACCCAGGGATCATGCAACCCAGAGGAACTGCTCTCTTGCTTACAGAACTGGTCATGCCAGGGGCTGCCTTTGGGTCATGTCCCTTGCACTGACAGAACCTGCTGGATCCTGTTCTTTTACCATCTTCCCTCCAAACCTGCTTAGATCTTCCATCTGTGAAAGCAACTACCCCTCCATCTTTGTCCTTGGGATGGATCCCTGCCCACTCTACCCCTTGGGGGCTGGTCATTCTTGTTGTTCACCCTCCCTTCAGGGAGTTTCAGGCAGCAGGACTCACCGCTAAGCATTGCCGGAGGACACAGGACTGCTTCATGCGACCAGGCCCACCAAACTTCTTCATATCCCTGCAGTAGTGGCACATGCCACACTCGCCCTGCATGCAGGCCTTGCATTTACGGCACCGCACCCGCCTCCGCCTCGCTCCCGACACAATCGGAGAGACCGTGGGCCTTACAGGTGCTGGGCGTGGGGCTGGCTTCATGGTGTGAGGCTTGGTGATGGGGATGGTGGGCAACCGCAACTTTGGTCGGGCCTGGAACTTTAGCTGACAATAGAAGTACAAGATAGGTGGTTAAAGATCAAAACCCAACTGAAGATTCTGGTGGCGGACAGCATTATATTTGCTTTCTTCTGAATCATACAGAATAGGAACTCAGGCTATCCAACCGCCTGACAATAAATTAAACTCATTAAAAGCTGCCCGTGTTAGCCAATGTGCTCCGTTCTTTGCTGTGAACAGTTTCTGGTTTATGAACTCCCTGCCTGTTCTTACGCATTTGCCAAACAATCTGTGCAAACAACTTCCAACCTATGGGTACCTGTGTGAGATTTTTGCTGCCACTATTTGCTTTTGGTGGCAGGTAACTCAGCAAGTCAGTCATGTGACACCACTCCAGTTCCTCGACTGGTGGCCAGATTTGGGACGAAAATGAGGAATGGCGTTGAGTGGCAACTCCCATCTGCCTGTGAATGGCTGGTATTCAGACCAGTGACAACACCCACATGGAAGAAGGCAGAGCAGGGCAGTTCAGTTCAGAGCCTGACTGGTCAGCTGCTATCTGTGGAAAAGACCCTTTGGAGGGAGGCAGGAACTCAATTTCCAGAAATGCAGGCAGAAACACCTGCTCTGCTCTTCTATGGGATTGGTGGAGATAGGGCTAGAGTAAAGGGGGTAGCTTTGGGATGCAGAAGGGCTACAGGTCACATAGGGAGCTTGCTCACTTACAAGCTAGGGGGCAGGTGCTTGCCTGTAGTTGCAGATAAGTCTTTGTTTCTACCAAATGGGCTTAGATTCACATTGATCATTAACTTGTGAGCTTTGCACTTCACCTGCAGGAGGTTGTGACAGCACCACTCTCCCTTTCTTCCACCTCCACTGATTCTCTCAATGCTCTTCATCTTATTTACATTTTTCCCCCTTAAGGACTGTGAGATGAGATGCAGGGAGGTGGTGGAAGACTTCTTCCATTCCGTGTTGGAGGATCACTGGGAAATGGGATTGCGTAGCTACAGGTATCCTGATTCCACCATCAGTTTTAGCTTTGTACAGAATGCAGCAGAGGGGAAAAGGGCTACATAAGTCCCTCACCCTCAGGAGTTGAGCAACACAAGAGCCCCGCCTCTTACCTTATCTCTCTTGGGCCACTGGACGATAGGGATGCCTGTAAGTGCCAGTTTGGGGTCGCTGTTTGCGTACTCTTCTAGCAGCAGCTAGGGAAGCCAGGAAGACAAGAGGAAGGAATGAGAAGCATAGGTACATGAGAAAAGCCTGATGCTTCTGCTTCAGCCACTGCTGTGGTGGCTGGGGAAGAAACCTCTTCTACCTCAAGCTCTTGCCCACCAGCTCCTTCCCACATACAACATATTTATTGTTAACTGAGGTGCGCTGTATGAGTGCTTGTCAATAAACTCCATGTTTGAGCCCCAAGGCTCCCCCGGTAGAGCCTGCAGAGCCATGGTGCTGGGGAAGATGCGCATTTGAGACACCCCCACAGGGCTGGGAGGAGGCAGCTCAGCCAGCCTGACAGTTTTTGGTGCTTGCTACAGTGTGAAGCAGCAGCCAGAGCACAGGGCTGGGTTGGAGTGCAAATCAGGAACACTGCAGCCATGTGCTGGATGCCAGGTAAGCTAGAAGCTGGGCCGAGAAGCTTCTGCCCACTTCGCCTCTCAATCTGGCTTTAAGATCAAATGATATTGGAGTGTCTGGGCACATCCCCAGCGCTGGCTTCCCTGCCTGTCACTCTGGAACATCAACCTCTTGACCAAGTGTCAGTAACAAGTGCCTGCAGCCCTGGAGGAGCTAGATCCCTGTTGCTATCACAGATGGTCCTGCTCCTTGCCCTACCCACCCAGCCGTTGCAGAGGTGCTTTATTTACTTCGTGTTGCTATGGCTACGTTTTCAGGAATCTCTTGCTGGCATCCCCATGTGCTTGGAGCTGGAGTGCAGCACTTCCTGCTGCCAGAAGGGAGCTGGGAGCAGGCATGGGCTGGGATCACTTACCCAAGGGGAGGCATGTTCCCAGAGAAAGGCTCTACTGTGAAGGGCTGCTTTCCAGCAGCTCCCCCGCCCTTCTCAGAAGGCTGCGGGTGGCAGGAAGCAGCAGCCTCCGCTCCCCAGCAGCACAGCACAGCACGGTGCCCAAAGACCTTCCTCCTCTAGCCAGTCAGCCTTCCCATGAGCACATGCTCAAAGGAAAGGTCAGGGTCTCGGGGGCATTCAGACATACACGCCTCAATGCCTGTCTGTTCAAGCTGGGAGGGGGGAATGCACACTCTCCCCTGCCCGGGGCACTTCAGGGGGTAGCTGTTCAGACACGCACAACCAACTGAGTGGGAGGGGGAACACCCATGTCTGCCAGCTAGCCAGGCAGAATGTTTTAGGCTGGAGGATCCCAAATAGGCACATTCTGCTCTTAGCTGGTGTCCCTCTGCCCAGACTTGAAGCTCCCCCGCTGCGAGAAGCCAGCACGAGCAGACAATGCCCTGACTTAGAGGGGGAAGGGGATGGCAGGCACCCGTCATGGGCTTTCTCAGCAAGAAGAAGCAGGGACCCCCACATAAGCAAGCACCCCCTAGCCCTGGTCAGTCCAGCGCGGTGAGCTCGAGCCCTGACCACGCACTACTTCAGTAGGGTTTTGCAGGCGAGCGACAGCCCTGCCCTGTGAAAACAGGGATGGCAATGGAGTCCCCCATTTCTTCCTAGATGCAGAGTCCCCCCACCCCCTTCCCATCTGTGCCCCCAGACCCACCAAATAAAAAGCTTTGCCAGCTGCCTGACCTTGCGTGCCTTGTCCCTCTGGAGCTGCCGGGGCTCTCGGGTGAAGTTTCCGAGGCTCTTTGTTTCGTTGCCTGCACTGCGAGCTGTAGGGTTTTCCCCCTGCCACTTTTTCAGATCTAGTGCACTCCAGCCAGACCCCCAGGTGGCAAGGACATGTTTGGAAAACCTCCCCCTTCCTCCCCAGGCTGGGTAGCTGCACAGGCAGTAGCGTGCTCTTTCCAGAACCCTTCAGCAGCAGCAGTGGCTTCCTGTGCCTGCAAACAATGCTGCTGCGTCACCCACATGCGGCTCCCAGAAATGCTTTGCAACGGGAAGATGGCAGAAGAGAAAGAGCGAGCTAGCGAGGCAGTGCACAGAGGGCAGAGCCGTTCTGCTGCAGAGCCGGGAGGGGGCTGGGACAAGCGGCTGGCGGCTTGCGGATTGGCAGAGCTGCCTGCTGGAGAAGTCCCCACCTTCTGCCCCTCCCTTCGCCACTGCAATCGGAGAACCCAGGGCCAGCCCCCCTGAGGGCTCCTGTGTGGCAGACTTGAGGGAGCAACAGAAATGCTTTAACCCATTGCATGCGCCACAGCTGTGCTGCTGGCCTATGTCTGTCCTTGCCTTGTTCACTTTCACTGGCCACCTCTCCTTTGTCTGGACTGGGGTGTGTTGTGGACTCCTCTGACTGCACATGCCCAAGCCCTACGAGGGAGACAGACTGGAGACCACTGGGGCCCTACTGAAAACGTGTGCCATCTGCAGGGATCAGAAATCACCCAGACCACGGGATCTAAAAGCCTGAGCCTCTGCTGCTGTGGCTGAAAGCCTAGGTCCAGTGACTTCTGGAGGTGATTCAGGCTGTTGCTTATTTATGTGCCCTAACCACTGCGGGGGAGGAAAGAGACAGAAACCCACTGCAGCCCCCGTGCCCGTTTTGTCAGTCTCCACTGTTTCCATTACTGCTGTGCCCCTAGAGTCAGTGGGGCGCCAGCACAGCACATTATGCCACGGTTTTGCTTCAATTAAAAAATGGAGGACTTAAACATGAAATGCACAAAGAACTACTGAATGAGTCATTCAGGGCCGGGTTATACTGCCTCATAGGGTTTGTTTTTTTCCTTCCTGCATCTACAACGTGCCAAAGAGCTCCAAGTCTTGCAGGAGTTGGCAGGCAAGTACAGTGCAGTTGGGTATTTTGTACCCAAAGGGCACAGGAAGGAGACAGAAGGGACACACACATGCAGCAGTTGTGCTGTTTCTGCCAAATTAATCAGCAACCAAGCAGCTCTTCATGCTGTCAGTGGAGCTGCCATCACTAGGACAGAGCTATTCTACCAGGATACATTCAAATCTGTAAGCTATTGTCACAGGCTGTCTGCAGGCTGAGGCAGACACAGGGACTGGGGTATGCTGTTCAGAGGGGGTAGGTTTTCTCAGTCAAGATGCTGGAGCACAGCTCTAAAGGAAGGGAGGGGGGAATTTCTGCAGCCTCTAATTGTGACACACAGGGTCCTTTCTCTGGAGTCTTTCTGCAGCCTCATGCAATGCATGGTGCTAAAGTCTTTCAAAGGAAAAGGTTTCTTGGTGCAGTCTTGCCCAGTATACATCCCTTCCTCTTAGTTGTTCAGTCTCACTGGAAGCCTCCTCCATTCACCTCACTGGGTCTCAGCCCACTGCTCCACTTTCCTTTCATGTTGAGGGCCTGCGCTGCTGTCCATCCCATTTTCCAGTGGAATAGGGACTGCTTAGTCTTCTCTCCCTCTGCAGCAACAGGGGAGTGCTTGCTTTCTCACGCCAACCATCTCTCAATAAGCCATTCCCTTGGCAGATTTCAGTGTAGGTTTCAGGCTGGCTTGCAAGAAGTGGCCTCCACTCTGATGCAGAGCACTCCTCCGTCTCAGCAGCCTTCGGGGCTGTGCAATGTGCCTGGCTTCCTCCTACCCAACCCTCTGTCTCCAGCATTGTTGTCTTACTCTGAAATTAGAAGGGGAGGCTGTGGTGGGAAATGAGGTCCCCTTTTGTAAGAAGCAATGTGGGCTTCAACAACTGACATCCTCATCGTCTGCAATGGAGACTGGAGGAAGTGCTGAAACTATCCACGGAGAGAGTAGAACACAGACTGTTTTGGGGCGAGTACAAGGAACCCCATTTTGAATTAACAGTGACTTGCACAGCCAGAAGGAGTGGGCTGTTCTAGCTCTGCAGACTAGGAAGACAGCAGCAGCCTACCATGCAATGCAGCAGGATTTAACTAGTGCCGCTGCAGAGGAATACCGAGAGGAATCAGATCACTGAAGAGGCCTGTATAGTGCAATTCTGGGCAGCAGCTAAATCCTGGCATGAATGATTACCTTGAATAAAGACAGGCTACAACCAGGACAGAGGACTAAGGATGAACATACAAGAACTTCAGATCATAAAGCCTTCCAAGTAAGGCATTGTGCTTCATGGTTGTACAGCACACAGCAGAAAGTACCGATCCCACAATGAGACTTCTGTGTCTATCATAATACCATAGACATGGTTCCTACTGGTGTTGCAGAGAGGTGGGTTCAAAACAGCTTCACTCTTATGAATAGGAGGTCCAAAAGGAACACTGAACAGCCACAAAGAAAAACCCTTAAGACTGCACACACTGGGTGGTTTATGAAGGAAATGGGTGGGTCTAGGAAGGAGGTAGCTCAAAGTTTTATAAAAACAGAAGGGAAGAAACCTCTTATTTTGCACAAAGCTAAATGATTACAACTTCCAGTTAATATATTGCAACAGGGCCATCCAACTTTGGGCAGCCAGGGGCCACATACCGGAAGGGCTATGGACTGGGGGCCCCACATGCCACAAAAGGAAGCTGGCTCCCACTTCAGTGGGACAGTGTGGACAGCTCCTTGCAGCACAGCCATCCCAGCTCCCCACTCTCCCCTTCCCAGCTGTGCACACAACCCACTTCCAGTGCAGCAGGCCCAATTCCCTTCTTTGCTACATGTGCAGTTTGGGTACTCCAGCCTCCTCCTGCCCACAGGGGCAGGAAAAACTGGGGTGGAGAGTGGCTGCATGCTAATTCAAAGGCCACAGGCAGGCCATGGGATGCCAGCTGGATAGCCCAGTACAGTGTTATACCATGGGAGTAACCTGGTGCCAGCTATGCTTTAAGACAGTGGTTCTCAACCTTTTTTTGTAAACATCAGTGGCCAGTCCCAACACAGTGCCCCTCACTCCTGACCCACTACCCCCAGGCCCTAGCCCCACAGTGTGTGGGGCAGGGGGGCCCCAAATAGCTCTCTGGAATTTTGCCAGACTGCAAGGGAAAAGTCCCTGTTTCCTACGTTCCTCTTTTGAAGGAGAATCCATGTTTAAAGTTTGTTCACAACCACTTCATATGTTTTTGAGACACCTTTGGGTCACGACCCACAGGTTGAGAAACACTGCTTAAGAAACCAAGGATTTTGCTTAGTG